ACTTCATATTTTAGCAACAAAAAATAGAAAAACTACAGGGTGGATGTTGGTGTGGGTGAAAAAAATACTGATATACAACACCGATGTCAACTGAACCCATCCACATCTACACCCACACCAATATTGCGTTACGCTTTGTGATTGAGCCATTTGCATAAATTATGTATTCTATTTCATAAAATTGAAAAAATACCTATTTGTGTAAATAAATGAATCAATATTGTCTTTTTTATATACAACTTATTTTTTATTAAAATGAACTACTGCTTATTCAACATAATTATTGTTCATTCAATATAATAATTGCTTATTTAAGTTATTTTATTGCTCAATTAAATATAAGTCGAAAAAAATGCTCTCCTAACAGTGTTTTTTTATAGTTTTGATTTATAAAAAGAGATGAGAAAAAAAGAAAAAAATACATTTGTTAGATGCAATATATGAAATAGAGTATATTTACCTTGCTTCTGTTGCACTCTTTTTTTCATTCCTCTTATTCTTTGCTTTTTTTTCCAATGCACTTTTACTTCCTTTTCACCTCTTGTCATCTGTACTTCGTGGAGATTCGACAAATGAAAAGAGTTGTATATATTATGTGTACAGATTGACATCATAAAAAAATGCTACGTGTCTTACAAGATGCTTCATTCGTCTAGTTTTCCTAGAGTGCTTAAGATTGATTATCCATTGATATTTAACATATTAGCTAGAATATATCACATGTCTAAAAAAAAAGATGCATTATGTGTCTCAGTTAGACATATCGAGTGTCAATGGATAACCGATTTTAGACATTTCAGCAAAACAAACATAGTATAATACTCTTGACGTATCTTAGTTTTTTAGAGTTGAAAGAGAAAAAGAGAGGACAAAGCGAGTTGATTTTTTTTCTTGAGAAATGCTTTGATTTTAATTTTTTTTTGTCTTTACACTCATTTTATCAATAGTCTTCTTTTTTTTCAAAATAATTTATTAAAAAAAATATATTTATGAATTGTTTTCTTCAATTCAAAGGAAAATATTATTAATATGGCGATAAGAAATTCAAATTTCTTTTTATTAATCCTATTATTATCATCATCAATCAATGCATTTAATCTACCAGGATTGGCACCTAATGAATACTGTCGATTTCCACTGCCAGGGTTAAAATGCAAAGTTTGTTAAAATGACGAAAAATCTTATTTGTTATAAAATATAATTTTAGACTCAAGTTGAAGTATATGTCAATCGTCTCAATTCATTTGAATCTGTATTATCATATCAATATTCTTAGTGAGTTAATATATCATTTTTTTTTCTTTTATTTAATTCTCAAAAAAATTAGTTTTCCTTTCTGTACTGTTAATGATGAACCATCGCCAATTGAAAATCTTGGTCAAGTTCTTATTGGTGAACGAATTCAACCATCACCATATAAAGTCAGTAATCAATTCAATTCTATATTTAAATCAATCGAATTTCTTTTTCCTAGTTTCATTTTCTTAAAAATTATAACTGTCGTTATGTATGTGCAAAGAAATTTACATCAACTGATGCTAATCAACAAAAAATGCTTAAACGTTTAATGAAAGGAATAATTTTAAATTATCAACAACACTGGATACTTGATAATATGCCTATTACATTATGTTATAAAAATACTGAAAATCTAGAATTTTGTTCCCGTAGTTTTCCAATTGGCTGTTATGTAAGTAAAAGTGGTCAAACAAAAAAATCGTGTAGTATTCGTGATGGAAAAAATGATACATTTTATATATTTAATCATTTGGATTTTGAAATAACCTATCATAACGAACTAGGTAAGATAATCATAATAACTATTATATTTTGATTAGTTGATTTTTTTTAAAGGTGAAACACGGAGAAGTACATTTGGCGAAGATAGTAGTCGAATTATTTCAGCGAAAATACAAGTTAATAGGTTTGTTGAATAAAATTAGTCATTTTATCTACTGTAGTTATAAATTTTATTTTTTAGTCTCAATTCAAATAGATGTGATCGTACTACTGGACCAGTTATGTTTCAATCGACAAGCAAAGATATTGAAATTCCATTTACATACAGTGTAAAATTTATAAAAATTAATGAAATACATTGGGCTAGTCGATGGGATTATATATTTAAATCATTACCACAAACACGTATTCAATGGTTTTCAATTTTAAATTCGCTTGTCGTTGTATTATTTCTTTCGGGTACAGTTGCTATCATTCTTTTACGTACATTATGTAAAGATAATCCGCGTTATAGTCGAATAGTTGGTACTGTAAGTTGAAGAAATTAAGTCTATATTTATGATTGTTTTATTTTTATATAGGGTAGTGCAAAAGAACAATTTGGATGGAAACTGTAAGGATTTATCTATTTCATGTCTTTATTTTGATCGTGTATTGCATACAAGTCAGTTTTGTGACATTGTTGTTGAGGTTATGTACTTTCTGTATAGCGAAATATTTCGAATACGAAGATTCGTAGATTTATTATCTTCCAAACTACTGACTTTTTGCACTAATACTTCACTTAACTATATACTTTCAATTCAGACTACTTATCATCTTTTATATCGATTTTCAACATTCAGCAAAGAACATCTCAGACATAGAAAAAAAAAATTTAAAGCTAACACTTTGTCTATATGTAGATCTCATGGTTATTAAAATGTTCGAAAATCTTTTAGTAAAACGATCAGGTATTAAATGTATGTTGCAAGTAAATAAGAAGATCTAATATGAACAATTTAAGGTATGTTAGTCGCTGAATACAAATAATAAAGAGATAATATCTACATCTTCAAAATTACTTTCGAATTTCAATAAGAAAAATGACATCAGTTAATGAGTAAAATTTCGTTTCAAACTCTTTTCGTCGAATTTTCAAGAATCTCTTGTTTATAAACAGCTCATAATCAAAAGTTCTTCAAGATTTTGATTAGTGATATGAAGATCTAATCGTTAAGATATCGAAAATAAATGTTCAGGTTAGTTACAGTTTATTCAAAGAAGATTGAATGTTGATCTATTCTTTATCAAATCTTATGTCATTTTTGTTTTTATTCTATTTTCTTTTCAAATGATAGAATTGATGGTGATGTATTTCGTCCACCACAAAAAGGTATACTTTTGTCTACTCTTGTTGGTAATGGTATTCAAATTACAATGACATTTTTAATCACATTAGGTAGATAGTTTTGTTTATTTTCAGTTTTTTTTCAAAATTTGTTTATTTAGTCTTCGCTGCACTTGATTTTCTCTCACCAGACAAACCTGGTGCTTTACTGACTTGTAAGTATTTTATTTCATTCGTTTTCCTCCTGTCTATTTCATTTGAATCATTAAGGTCTTATCCTATGTTATGTTCTTTTGGGTACTCCAGCTGGCTATACTTCAGCTCGTTTATATAAAAGTAGGAGACAACATTTATTATAAATGATTAATTGATATTTCATAGTGTTTGGCGGTGCAAATTGGAAGAAAATTGCTCTAACAACAGCTATTACATGTCCAAGGTAACATTTAAATCGTTTGGTTTTTTTCTAAAAATAAATTATTTCTTTGTTTATTTCAGCTTAATTTTTGTCATTTTGTTTGTTTTAAATCTTGTTCTTTGGCTAAATGTTAGTTCAGCAACTATTCCATGTACTACATTTTTAGCATTACTTGCTCTTTGGTTCTGCATATCAACACCATTAGTATTCATTGGAGCTTATCTTGGTTTCAAACGTTCAGTAAGAATGAAAAATATTTTTTTTGAACTAATTTCTCTTAAAATTAAGGTTTATAAAAATCCTGTTCCAATTAATCAAATTCCACGACAAGTACCTGAACAGCCTTTTTACACTAAACCATTATTAAGTATCTTAGCGAGTGGTATTCTTTCATTTGGTTGTATTTTTATTCAACTGTTTTTCATCTTAAACAGTATTTGGTAAATATTTTTATTTTTTTTTGATATTTATTAGATGTATATAGATGAATTTAGGGTTCATCAATATTATCATTATTTTGGATTTCTACTTGTCGTATATATAATTCTTATAATTACATGTTCGGAAACAACAATTCTTCTTTGCTATTTTCATTTATGTACTGAGGTAACATTTGATTTTATTTGATAAAAGAAAAACTTAAATTTTTGATTTTTGTAGGATTATAATTGGTGGTGGCGTTCATTTTTAACATCGGGTTCTACGGCTGTCTATTTCTTTCTCTATTCAGGTTTTTATTTTGCGACTAAATTAGAAATATTTGATGGAGTATCAACATTTCTTTATTTTGGTTATACATTAATGCTTACATTTATTTTATTTTTATTTACCGGTAAGTTAAATATTCTTGTATAATCTTTTTCATTAAATTTTATTTAGGTGCAATCGGTTTTCTTGCTTGTTTCTGGTTTGTTCGTATAATCTATTCAGTTATCAAATGGGATTACATGAAGCAAGTATCAATCAATGATATATCTAATTATTTTAAATGAAGTTTGGTTGATAATGGATCAGTTTTAAGGCATCTAAACATTTCATATCCCTATTATCCTTGAATCTGGATGATAAAATCATCTATCTCGACTAATTATTATATATTATATACGCTATGATTGATTTATAAATCTCTAATAATAAAATCTCTATTTTTGAATACTCTTTAGTCCCATCATACGACTTTTTCTATGTCTTTTATATGATCACCTCATCGTTCTAATTGTGAATATCTAATTGATCTATCATTCTCGTTGTTGTGTATATTGGCATGAAACTACCTAAGTAAACTGTATAATTGTACGTGTGGATGTGCTTATGTAAACTTTCATACTCGTCCATCTCGAACGCTTGCTGAAACAGAAAAGAAGCAAGAGTTAGGTTTGTCTTTCATTGGAGACATATCCATCTCTAGCTTGCATACTCATTCCATTGATAGGATATACACTGAACAAACATGGTGTATCTTCTACTCAGACCGGTACGTCAACATAAGTTCCGTATTTGAGAGAGCGCCAGAGCCGGTCTATGCATTTCTGAAAGTATAAAACCAACAAAATTCAAAAAGGAAAGTCGAATTGAGGGCGTGGGTGTGAGTGGGTGTGGGTGTGGGCGGGTGTGGGTGTGAGTGTGGGTGGGTGTGGGTG